ATCTTCCTAGGTGGCTATCCAATTAGCCCAACACGTTTTGAATAATCCACCTATAGACTACTGATTTAAATTACCAACGATTAAAGTCTTAACCATTTTTCCCTCAACTTTTGGGTGTCACAGTTGGGGAAAAAATACTATTTGATTGGCCTAACGATGGTTTGTCACTCTCTGATAATACCTGAGCATGCCATTTACCCAAGGAGTATATGACAGAAGGTTCAAGCATGGGAATCCAGTGTGTCTGTTGTGTACTATGCTATTTATGAAGCAGCAGAGTCAGCCTCAAACATATTACCAATCCCTGTTAATGTTTTTATAAATATAAATATTGGCTATTTTTAATTTTCTAAAAGTAATACAAAGTTGTAACTAATTTAAGGCTTTATTATTGAATGAGTTGCACTGACTGGTGAAAACAGATTTTGTTGTGTCTGCTGTCAGCCTTATCACAGGCAACGGATAGAAATGAAGGTGTTCATTTATTTTTAAAATCTGTCTCATAAATTTAATCCCTTATTAAAATTGTGTCTATGGAAGATTCGAAATAATCTACACACTATTATTAGAATAATTAAATTTAATAAGGTCTCTTTATACAGGGTAAATACAAAAATGAACTCTTAAACACCAGTTGAAAACAAGGGCAAGACGCGGTGACTCACGCCTGTAATCCTAGCACTGTGGGAGACCAAGGCTGGCAGACTCCTTGAGGTCAGGAGTTTGAGATTGGCACGGCCAACATGGTGAAATTCTGTCTCTACCAAAAACACACAAAAAAAATTAGCTAGGCGTGGTGGCGTGCACCTGTAATCTCAGCCACTCCGGAGGCTGAGGCACGAGAATCATTTGAACCCAGGAGGTGGAGGTTGCAGCGAGCCAAGATCACGCCACTGCACTCTAGCCTGGTGACAGAATGAGAATCCGTCTCAAAAAAAAAAAAAAAAAAAAAAGTAGAAATAAAAAATTTAAGTATAATTTATAATTACATGAACATCAAATTTATCGGAATAAATTAAACAAAAGAACAAATGGAGTGTTATGTCACGCGTATGGATTAAACGATTCACTGTGTCAAGATGTCAGTTCTCCCTAAAATGTATCTAGTCATCCAAAGGAACCCCAATCTAAACCCAAGATAATTTTTCTTATTGCTTTTGTGGCAAAGAAATGAAGGTGATTTCTGATTTTCATCCTCAGCTCCGTAATTATAAATCTTGGTAGCAACTTCAGACTTAATTGCTCCAACAAGCCATTTTGGAAACAAGATTGAGATTCCAGAGTACATTCGGAAGTTCCCTTTAATTAGCCCTAAATGTAATCCCTAACCTTTCCAAACCCAGAGACACATTCGAACCGATTCCCCTGTCTTGACAAGTGCAGCCCAGAGAAGTAAGATATTATAAAATAGAACTGCCTGGTTCTGAGAGCGTGCTGAGACCAAGTCTACAGAAAAATAAGCCCAGAAGGCAATCCCTAGAGCGATGCTCATACTGGGAAGGGGTTGACGCTCCCGTCCTCTGCCCTCCAAATCGCTGCCTCCTGAGTGCAAAGGACTGCCAGAGCACCACGGGCCCCAACTCGGTTACCTACAAGTCTCCTGCAGACTTCCTTTGTTAGACACCCACCCCCCACCCCAGGACATGCCAATGGCGAATCATTAAAATGGTAAGGAGTAGTACCTGAAAATGTTGCTTTTGGGAGACTTTATCACATTTGGAAAACCCGAGTAGCCTTGACTTTTACTTGTGGTTATCCTTGGACTAATTGAAGGATTAATGGTACTAATATTTAAACTGCCCGAAACTTTCTCCGCTTGTGTTAGTTCCCAGTGCATCTTACTAAGTAAGCCAAACGTATTTTTGGAGCTTGCGTCTTTTCTCACAGCAAACTGTTCTAGAATGTAGAGATGCTATGCCAAGAACATTTTATTTAAAAGTAGGAATAGGTCCAGCAGCCAGCCTTCCTACACCTGTGGGCTCTATGGCTTAGTTGGTTAAAGCGCCTGTCTTGTAAACAGGAGATCCTGGGTTCGAATCCCAGTAGGGCCTTGGGGCTTTCATTTTCACTAGAAAGCCAGTTCTTCATTAACCCCTACTGTACCTAGATTGTCCACTGTATTCCATATACTGCAAGTTCTAATGCAATAAATTGTAGGTTATGTGAAGGCAAGATTCCCAGCCTCAAAGAAGAAAACGAGAACCGTCTGATAAAGTTATGAATTGAATTCTGGCAACAGATCCTTTTTTTCCCAACAAATATTTATTAAGATTCTCTGTGTTATGCACAGACTCAAAACCTATATAGATGTAGATTATGTCATCTCTAGAATGCAATAATGTTCAGCTGATTTCAGAAGAGTTCATTAAATTAGTATACCACCATAAATTAATAAATCCACCATAAAATAGAGGGGAAATTAGTATATTTGTAGGGTCCTCCTTGCCTTTTGGAGATAACAGGAGGAAAATAACTTTTAAAACCCTGTTAACCTTCTTACAAAATGACCTAGGAACACTTTATAGTGATGGCCAGTTAGAAGCTGTATTTGCCAGAGGCTGGTGCATCTCTGGGGCTGTAACAAAAGTGCTGAAGAAATGCAGCATATTAAGGAAAAATTTCAAACATCCAAAGTGAATAAGGCCAACCTTAGTTGATTAGTTTCGTTTGCGTGTGTCTGCATCTCTCATTATTTTGACCATTAAGCCAGCACAGATTTACTGACTGCCTTCTATGTGCAAGGTACTGCTCCAAGTGCCGGGGGAGTCGGGGTTAGTAGACCTAGCAGTCTCTAACTGTAACAGCCTTGGAGACCTGCCACAGCATTCTGTATGAAGCCAACCTCATGCCAAAGACTGAAGATGGTAGAGATACCAGGGCCTGCCAATTTCTCCCATACCTGGGACCTCCCTAGTGAGGAACTTTTGTTCTAGAGCTCCCCATTGGCTGGCAATGGAAATGTGAAGGAAGTTGGTAGAGCTTAAGCACCAGAAACCAAGGGGCTGCAATGATCATAACAGCCAGCAAGGATGGAGGGGCAAACGGGGCCTGACCAGCACAGCACCGTAGATATCCATATGGGAGCACATAGCCGGGCCGTGAGACTGCTGCTCAATGCCTATAATCAGAAGAAAAGAATGAACAATCAAGAGGCTGAGGGTCGTCACTTCAAATAAGCAAAAGGAAGAAAGAAAGAGAGACAGAGAGAGAGAGAGAGAAAGAAAGAAAGAAAGAAAGAAAGAAAGAAAGAAAGAAAAGAAAGAAAGAAAGAAAGAAAGAAAGAAAGAAAGAAAGAAAGAAAGAAAGAAAGAAAGAAAGAGAAAGAAAGGAAGGAAGGAAGGAAGGAAGGAAGGAAGGAAGGAAGGAAGGAAGGAAGGAAGGAAGGAAAGAAGGAAGGGAGCCAGGAGCAGTGGCTCACACCTGTAATCCTAGCACTTTGGGAGGCTGAGGTGGGTGGATCACCTGAGGTCAGGAGTTCAAGACCAGCCTGGCCATCATGGTGAAATCCCATCTTAAAGAAATAAAGCTCCAACAGACTTTTATTTTAAATTTTTAGTCTGACACCTGGCTATAGTCACAAGAGTTTTGTTGTTGTTCTTTGGGATTTTTATCGTTACTATGAATTAATTTTGTCAAATGTAAAAACTGGCTTTCGTGAAGCGATGAGGTAGCTTAGCCCCAAAGTGAAGGGGCTGAAACACCATGGCATGTACCAGAAAGCATCTGTTATGAGAAAAGTCGTGGCCAGTTGACCTCCATCAGTTTTTATCACTAACTATCCAAAACTGGCGCAATGGACATGTGAATAAAGTGGCTGAGGTGGCAGAGAGGGCGACTACACAAGGGTAGAGCAGAATAAACTCCCATTTACTAAAGCAGAAATAACAGATGCAGCCTGTAAATGTCCAAAGTGCCAGCAACAGTCAGCAATGCTAAGACTTCCCACAGCGCTATTCCTCAAGGAGGCCAGTCAGCCACTTGGCAGGCTGATAATAACAGAGCCAGTTTACCACGGGCAGGCCAGTGTGTGTTCTCACAGGAATAGACACCCATGCCTGGTATGAGTTTGACATTCCTGTTCATACAGCCTCAGTCAAGACCACTTTCTAGGGATAATTGGGTTCACATGCATGTAATCTCAAGAAAGCTAGTGTGTGACCATACAAACTGGCTGGGGACCCACTTCCAGCAAGTCCATAATGATGAGACGCACTGGTCCTATTCCAGACCACGTCATGTAGGAGCACCTGGTCTGACAGAGTTGAACTGGCTGGCTGACGGCACAGCTGCAGCACCAGCTCAGAGGTAACACGGCATTCTCCAGAATGCAATGTGTGTACCACTGAATTAGAGCTCCTAAATGGTGCTGTGTCTCCAGTACGAAGAAAATGTGAGTCCAGGAATCAAAACGTGGAAGCATGATGGCCCATTAATCATCACTTCCAGTGAAGCACTCGGGAACTTGTGTTTCCCATCCCCACAATCCTGAGCTTGGCAAAGTTAGACTCCTAGTCTCAAAGGCAATGCAGTCTTGTCAGGGGATATAGCCAGAAGCCCATTAGCACACTGGGGTATGTTGGGGGGTGGGAGGCTAGGGGAGGGACAGCAGTGGCGGGGAGGTTGGGGAGGGATAACAATGGGAGAAATGCCTGATGTCGGTGACGGGGGAATGGAGACAGCAAACCACCATGGCATGTGTGTACCTTTGCAACAATCCTGCAAGATCTGCACATGTACCCCAGAACTTAAAGTACAATTTTAAAAAGGCATTTTGGAATCCTTGTGTCCAGGGATCAGAGAGAAGAGAAGCTAGAGCTGTTTTTACATAATGAGGTCAGGGTGGAACACATATGAAGCTCAGATGGGTCACTTAGCTGCCTCTTGATATATCCTTGTTGAGCTGGAGTCACAGATGGACAACCAGACAAGCAGAATAGAACAAATAGAACAAAGAACCAAAAGAAAAAATACTTTTATTTATAAATAAATAGGCCTGAGGATTGGTGCAGAAAAATGAATTATTCAATAATGTGAGAAAATTGAGTGTTCATGCAGGAAAATGCAAATAAAAGTGAACCACTGTCTCATGTCGCACCCTCCGAAAATCTATCCTAAATGTAAAGTATTCGTATATAAAAACACTATTTTAAATTATTAGAAAGTATATTTTAATCTTCCAGGGTTAGAAAAATTTTTCTCAAACAATATCCAAATAGTACAATCCATATAAAAATAAAAATAAATTTAACTAAATTAATCATAAAATCTTTTGTGCCTCATAAGCAAAACAGAGAGATGGGCCTCAAACGGGGATGTCAGAGATGGATCCAGGTTTTATAGAATCTGAATCCTATGTAATCTGGGGGACCCTCTTGAAAAATAGAATACAAAATTATGAATGTATAATTACTACAGATACTCCTGCAGCCTTCATATAAAGAGCTTTTTATAAGTCAATAATAAAAAGACCAACAGTCTAAGAGGAAAGTGTACAACGAAATGAAACCAGTAATTAACAAATGAGGAAATACAAATTGGAAGATTCTCACTAGTAATAGAAAATGCAAATCTTAAAAATCGTATATAAAATTATACCAATAAGACTGGAGTAGTTTTAAAGTCCACTGATATCAAAAGTTGAAGAGGCTACTGCACTCCAGCCTGAGTGACAGAGCCAGACTCCTGTCTCAAAAAAAAAAAAGTCGAAGAGAATGTTGACCAGCAAGAACTCTCACACACTACTAGAAGAAGTATAAGTTGATAGTAATTTAGCAATACCTAGTGCACAGATTTCCAGCTCGCACATCGTGGCACATAGTTGGGCTATGAATGTGTGACGGGTTGTTGCTGAGATACTGGTCTCCTTAGAGTGGCCACGCAAGACCAAGGGAAGTGAATAGCCATAGTTCTGGCTGCTTCCAGCCACAGGCAGCTTTATACATCAATCCCAGTTTGTTATACAATTATCACTTACTTACATACCATGAGACGAGAAGGACTGAGAATAACTAAGTGAATTCTTAGTTGCAAACATCAGAATCCACTCTATGGATGAAATAGTATAAGAATTTATTAAAGAATATCAGTTGGGCCAGGCGCGGTGGCTCACGCCTATAATCCCAGCACTCTGGGAGGCAGAGGCGGGTGGATCACAAGGTCAAGAGATCGAGACCATCCTGGTCAACTAGGTGAAACCCCGTCTCTATTAAAAATACAAAAATTAGCTGGGCATGGTGGCATGTGCCTGTAGTCCCAGCTACTCGGGAGGCTGAGGCAGGAGAACTGCTTGAACCCAGAAGGTGGAGGTTGTGGTGAGCTGAGATCGTGCCATTGCACTCCAGTCTGGGTAACAACAGCAAAACTCAAAAAAAAAAAAAAAAAAAAAAAAAAATAATATCAGTTGATTTAGAGTCTCCTGAAAGGTCAGAGAAACACTAGAATTATTTGGGAAAAATGCCCAAATTTCACTCCCAGACTGATCATACAAGCAATCCCACGACAGTGGATAATTATCATTTTCAATATGAGCATGAAACACAGGGCACTACAGCATCGATCTTGGTCAATTTTGCTTCTAAAGGTTCTGAACATGCCCACACTGCTACACTCACTTACAGAATTCTGCACAGCATCCCCTTCCTCGCAGTGCTCTCTTCTAAACTGACGTTTTTCATGACTACGTCTTATTAGCAAAATCTATGTTACATGCCTGCTCACCATCTTCAGCGGAAGTTAAAAAATGAGTTTTTCTAGCACCTATTTTAAAGAGGCAGGAGTTATAGTGGGGAAAAGTCACAGCTATAGAAAGGGTGCCCCGGCCGGGCACAGTGGCTCACGCCTGTAATCCCAGCACTTTGGGAGGCCGAGGCGGATGGATCACGAGGTCAAGAGATCGAGACTATCCTGGTTAACATGGTGAAACCCCGTCTCTACTAAAACTACAAAACTTAGCAGGGCACGGTGGCGCGTGCCTGTAATCCCAGCTACTCAGGAGGCTGAGGCAGGAGAACTGCCTGAACCCAGGAGATGGAGGTTGTGGTGAGCCGAGATCGCACCATTGCACTCCAGCCTGGGTAACGAGCGAAACTCCGCCCCCCCCCAAAAAAAAAAGAAAAAGAAAGAAAGGGTGCCCCAAATATTTTGGGTAGCCACAAATATGTCAAATATTTACAACATCCAATAAAGAGAAACATACCCCACTAGCAATTTCGCTACTGGGTAAATGTCATTTAACAAAAGCTAAATGCACTAGTGAGGTTCTCACACATGCACAATCGTCCAGGCCTCAAGGAACCGACGTGGACTTTGTCTCCAGCGACGTGCAGCTGGATGCACGCTCAGAAGTGAGGTGGCCCTGCCAGGAGTCCTGCGGCTGCCGGCTGCTCTGGGTGCTCAGTGTCCAGAGAGGAGGATGGGGAGGAGTTTGTGCAGAACAGGAACCACGCCCCAGAACTTCTTTTATTCTGCGTTAGCTTTTGTGTCGTAAAATAAAACACAGGTAACGTAACAGAAAAAAGATCTTAAAATGGTGAACTTGAATCAAAGGTAAACACCCTTTAACCATCAGCGAGAGAGAAAAGTTTGTCAGCTGACCTAGAAGCCCATCAATTGCCCCAGCTCAACAATAAATTCTTCCCTTTTTAAAATGAAAATCAACCACATTCTGACTTTTGCTGTCATCACTTCTTTGTTCTATTTTATATTTTCATCATCCAAAATTTAGTTTTACTTTTAAAAATGGTTTTTGCTCTCATTTATTCTATAGATTCTCCTTTTAAATCAATATTGTGTGGTAGAGTTTCCTGTTACTTGCATTTTGTGGATTGTAGCCAAACGTATGGTTTCACATGCATCTTTGTTACCTGTATTTTCTAGACATTTGTAGTTTGGTATAGAGATCTGCAGCTATTCAGTTTTCTTCCCGTGAGGTTTGGTGGTACTATATCATGTTTTTCACCAAGAGGTTTGCAGCTATTCAGTTTTTTTCCTGGGAGGCGGAGGTTGCAGTGAGCCGAGATCGTCCCACTGCACTCCAGCTTGGCGACAGTGCAAGACTCCGTCTCAAAAAAAAAAAAAAAAAAAAAAGGAAATGTGTTGTGATTAACACCTTAATAATTTATCTGAGATGGTGCTTCAGAGAGAGATGGTATGAGTGAAGGGGAGGAAAGAGCATCTGTTATCCACTAAGCTACCGTGTGGCCTTGGGCAAGTTGCCTACACTTTCTTGGGCCTTAGATTCCTCATCTATGAATTATGGGATTAGATGTATTATCTCTGTACGACCCCTTCCACCTTTTACAATTAAGTGATTTTTGTGAAAGCCATCGTGCTTCTATATTTCAGTCCTCAGCCTGACATTCAATAGTCTCCTCCACAAATTGGTCCCAGCATTTCAGATGCTTTTTTCTGTGTTATCCTACATGTGCTGTGCACTCCTATTACACTGACCTCACTCTCCCCAGCCACCCTGTGTACACTGGAGCTTCCATGCCTTTTTCTTCCATTTCTCCCCCTTTACACCCAGAATGCCCTCTTTGTTGTTTCCCCAGCCAGATTTTATTTTATTTTTTTGTCTTCTTAGGTTTATTTCCTAAACCTTTTATTTTCCTTTGGATTCAGAAGGTACATGTGCAGTTTTATTACATGACTATATTGCAAAATGGCGTTTGTCTTCTAGTGCACCCATTACCCACAGAGTGACCATCGTACCAAAGGAGTGATTTGTCAGCCCTCACTCCTGTTCCAGCCCCCCGGCCCCCAGTTTGTAGTCCCCAGTGTCTATTGTTTCCATCTTTATGTCCATAGGTCCCGATTGTTTAGCTCCCACTTGCAAATGAGAACATGTGGTATTTGATTTTCTGTTTCCGATTCATTTTGCTCAGGATAATGGCCTCCAGCTTCACCCACGTTGTTGCACAGGGCATGATTTTGTTCTTTTTTCGTGGTTATGCAGTATTTCATGCTTGTCGGCTGCTTGGATGTCTTCTTTTGAGAAATGTCGGTTCATGTCCTTTGCCCACTTTTTAATGCAGTCTTTTTTTGTTTTGTTTTCTTGTTGAGTTGTTTGAGTTCCCTGCAGATTCCAGATATTAGTCCTTTGTCAGAGGCATAATGCAGATTTTTCTCCCATCCTGTGGATTGCCTGTTTACCTCGTGATCTGTCCACCTTGGTCTCCCAAACTGCTGGGATTACAGGTGTGAGCCGCTGTGCTGGCCTTATACTAACCAGATTTTACAAATGTCTTACCATAACCCCAGTTAGAATAAACAAGCTTTCTGAATGCTGAACCTCCTAGAGGCTGTGTAGCAGTATCACTAAATGTGTCACTAAAATGGGCTTGGGTGAAATGTTAGTGATGCTGTTGCACCCTTACCCTATGTGCTTTCAGTTAACTTGATGACAATTGGGTTTGCCTTCTGAAAATAAGATATCGCTTCTTGAGAAAGAGAAGAGCAATCCCTTTCTGGAGATATTGGAAAATGCTCATACTCAGGGAGGCATTGGTCTCCTCATGCAAGGAGGGAGCCTGAGATGCTGACACAGACATACATAAGGCTGCAATGAGAGTCAGAGGATGATCCTTTCTAGATTGTGTTCTATCAATTGCTGCTGCCACCGTACACTACACATCCAGGTAGGATAGACCCAAGAGGAAGTGCTCCTTGTTCAGGCATCCTTATTTTAGCGAGTGCAGAAAAAATAAGATGGGCTGAACCTCGAGAGGAATTCTGAGATACCAAAACAAAGTGGAGTGCGATGCAAATAAAAAGATAACTAGAAACTTGACTGGATTAAAAGACAGGTAGCAAGGCCCAAAGCAGGGAAGGCCACAAATGACAAGAGGATGGTATACCCCAGGGTGGATGAACTAGAGAAATATTCTTCTTTAGCGTGGCTCCCATATGGGTGTTAATTTATTTTAGGCACTGAGTGACTCTGAGGACATTAGCTATCATTTTTGTTGAGTCTAATCCTACTATGTTAATAATGGAGCTATCATTTTCATGTAATTAGCCAGATACCTACAAGTGAACAGACCTTGAACTTTCTCTATGTTTCTGAGAGAGGGCTTAAACCTCCAATGTGACACCCTTGAAGGGTAAATCAAGCTATGGACACTTAAGATGCTGGGATGATGATACAGTATTTTGAACACTGTAATTTGCTGAATGTCTGTTGAACCACCTGATGCAATGCCAACTTGTGCCTCCTCTCTTACTCTTTTTTTGTACTTTTTCTTCCCTTATATTCAGCTCTCTTTGTTCTTTTAACTGTTGTCCCTTTTTTTCTGATCACCTACATTTTTTCTTCCACAAAAGCATCATTTCTTTATAAGTCCTCACCCTGTTCCCACTAAAGGTATTTCCCAGATATTAGTTCTTGCAGGGAGGAAGCAGAGACAGTGGGTTCAATTCGAGGTGATGGGGTCACATTTTTAAAAAAGGCAAGAAAACCCTGGTAGGGAGTCAAAGCATAAGCCCCTACATCAGACTTTAGAGTAGCTATTACTAACTGTAAGCACCCTACATCAGACTTTAGAGTAGCTATTACTAACTGTAAGCACCCCACACCAGACTTTAGAGTAGTTATTACTAACTGTAAGCACCCCACACCAGACTTTAGAGTAGCTATTACTAACCATAAGCACCCCACACCAGACTTTAGAGTAGCTATTACTAACCATAAGCACCCCACACCAGACTTTAGAGTAGCTATTACTAACCATAAGCACCCTACACCAGACTTTAGAGTAGCTATTACTAACCATAAGCACCCCACACCAGACTTTAGAGTAGCTATTACTAACCATAAGCATCCTACACCAGACTTTAGAGTAGCTATTACCAACCGTAAGCACCCTACACCAGACTTTAGAGTAGCTATTACCAACCGTAAGCACCCCACACCAGACTTTAGAGTAGCTATTACTAACCACAAGCACCCCACACCAGACTTTAGAGTAGCTATTACTAACCATAAGCACCCCACACCAGACTTTAGAGTAGCCATTACTAACCATAAGCACCCCACACCAGACTTTAGAGTAGCTACTACTAACCATAAGCACCCCACATCAGACTTTAGAGTAGCTATTACTAACCATAAGCCCCCTACATCAGACTTTAGAGTAGCTATTACTAACCGTAAGCCCCCTACATCAGACTTTAGAGTAGCTACTACTAACCAAAAGCATCCTACACCAGACTTTAGAGTAGCTATTACTAACCATAAGCACCCTACACCAGACTTTAGAGTAGCTATTACTAACCATAAGCACCCCACACCAGACTTTAGAGTAGCTATTACTAACCATAAGCACCCTACACCAGACTTTAGAGTAGCTACTACTAACCATAAGCACCCCACACCAGACTTTAGAGTAGCTATTACTAACCATAAGCCCCCTACACCAGACTTTAGAGTAGCCATTACTAACCATAAGCACCCCACACCAGACTTTAGAGTAGCTACTACTAACCATAAGCACCCCACACCAGACTTTAGAGTAGTTATTACTAACCATAAGCACCCCACACCAGACTTTAGAGTAGCTATTACTAACCATAAGCCCCCTACATCAGACTTTAGAGTAGCTACTACTAACCATAAGCACCCCACATCAGACTTTAGAGTAGCTATTACTAACCATAAGCCCCCTACACCAGACTTTAGAGTAGCTATTACTAACCATAAGCACCCTACACCAGACTTTAGAGTAGCTACTACTAACCATAAGCACCCCACACCAGACTTTAGAGTAGCTATTACTAACCATAAGCATCCTACACCAGACTTTAGAGTAGCTATTACCAACCGTAAGCACCCTACATCAGACTTTAGAGTAGCTATTACTAACCATAAGCACCCCACACCAGACTTTAGAGTAGCTATTACTAACCATAAGCCCCCTACACCAGACTTTAGAGTAGCCATTACCAACCGTAAGCCCCCTACACCAGACTTTAGAGTAGCTACTACTAACCATAAGCCCCCTACACCAGACTTTAGAGTAGCCATTACCAACCGTAAGCCCCCTACACCAGACTTTAGAGTAGCTACTACTAACCATAAGCCCCCCACACCAGACTTTAGAGTAGCCATTACCAACCGTAAGCCCCCTACACCAGACTTTAGAGTAGCTATTACTAACCATAAGCACCCTACACCAGACTTTAGAGTAGCTACTACTAACCATAAGCACCCCACACCAGACTTTAGAGTAGCTATTACTAACCATAAGCATCCTACACCAGACTTTAGAGTAGCTATTACCAACCGTAAGCACCCTACATCAGACTTTAGAGTAGCTATTACTAACAGCTTACATAAACAAGGTCCAAAGGTAGATAGTTTGAGGTTGTTGCTTTTGCTCTATAGGATCATCAGGGATCTATGTCCCTTTCACCTTGTCACTGTCCTCCAGATACAGCTTCTCTTTCCATGGCTGCTGAAGCACTGGCCATCAATTCTACATTCTAGTCAGCAGGAAGAGCAAAAATATGGACTCCTCTGGCTAAGTCAGCATTTTTCAAGGAGCCTTCTCAAAATGCACAAATTCTTACATCTAGTTAGCCAGAATTTACTGTGCTACAAAGTTAATTGAGAAATGTAATCTTCCTTTCAGGTGCCAGTGTACAAGATAAAAATTGCAATGTTTATCTGGTTAAAAAGGAGAGAATACTTACTTATTATGCAAACAGTCTCTGCCCTAGTCCCAAATAAAGGTATAACATTTCAAGTTCCGAAGTGCAGGAACCAACCCTTAATAAATGTGTGATGAAGATCTGTAAATAAACAAATGAATGAGAGAATGAGTACAAGGAACAGAATCAGAACTGAGAGATTCAACGGCGTTTCAGTGAATAGCAGGAAGGCGGGGGAGGGGGTATAAAGCAAGAGGGAAAAGAGGACGTGAGGAAGAAGAACAGATAAATCTCTGAGTCAGAAGTCCCTAATACATCATGCTTTTTAAATAATAGTATTAAAAGCTTTAGTTAAAAATGCAGTTTAACTCTGCTTTGAAGTGATGTCAAAAGATATTTTTATTTTATATATTTATTTTTGGAGACAGTCTCACTATTACCCAGGCTGGAGTGCAGTGGGGCGATGAGGGCTCACTGCAACCTCTGCCTCCCAGTTTTTAAGTGATTCTCGTGCCTCAGCCCCTCAAGTAGCTGGGACTACAGGTGTGCACCACCATGTCCTGCTAATTTTTTGTATTTTTAATAGAGATGGGGTTTCATCATGTTGGCCAGGATGGTCTCAAACTCCTGACCTCAAGTGATCCACCCACTACTACTAGAAAAAAACTTATCCCTAATTTAAGAATATTTTTATTTCCTCAAATCATCTATTTAGCGTGATTGATAGATATATTATTTTTGTCAGTGTACTTAGAATTTTATGACTTGGTACATTTTCATTAATCACTCTTATTTTAAAAATTACTCCATGTTACTGCATAATTATACTTATTACCTTATGGTCTATATAATACTTTTAGGTCACTTTAGGCTTCATACATACATATGTGTGTGTGTCTGTATGTATGTACATACACACAGTCATGTGTTAACAACAGGGATACATTCTGAGAAATGCATCATTAAGCAATTTCGTCATTGTTTGAACATCATAGAAAGTACTTACACAATCCTAGATATAACCTACTACTCACCGAGGCTATATAGTATGACCTGTTTTCCTAGGCTACAAACCTGTGCAGCCTATTGCTGTACTGAATACTGTAGGCAGTTTAACAATGGTAATTATCTGTATATCTAAACATATCGAAAAATAGCAAAGGTACAGTAAAAATATGGTATGAAAGATTTTAAAATAGTGAACCTGTATAGGGCAACTCTGTTACAACCTTATAAGTCTCCTGTCTTATATGTAGCCCATTATTGACCAAAACATTGTTAATCACAGCACATAACCTGTATAGACAGGGCCACTTCTATCTCCATTTGGGATACATTTCACAAAAGGTGAAATCGCTGAGTAAAAAGATTGTCATATATGCTTAAGCATTACTAATAACCACACTTTTGTCTAATGGACACTGCTAACCTTGTAACCAAAGAAATGGCATCTTTAAGATCTACATGGGCCTGGTGCAGTGGCTCACACCTGTAATCCCAACACTTTGGGAGGCCAAAGTGGGTGGATCACCGGAGGTCAGGAGTTTGAGACCAGCCTGGTCAAGATGGTGAAACCCTGCCTCTACTAAAAATACAAAAATTAGCCAGGTGTAGTGGTGGGCACTTGTAATCGAAGCTACTCGGGAGGCTGAGGAAGGAGAATCACTTGAACCTGGGAGGTGGATTTGCAGTGAGCTGAGTTCACACCATTGTTCTCCAGCCTAGGCAAAAAGATCCACATGTAACGGTACCTGGTTAACTAACCTCTCAAAGCCAAGGGAGCTAGCAAATCAGGAAACCTGGATATGAGTCCTGGGTCTCTGACCTCAACAACACACTTTATTTATCTGAGGTCTGGTTGTTTCAACTCTAAAATGAGTGGTTTGCATATTTTTAAAAAAATAAAATATGCATATATTTAAAAATACATAGCAATATATGTACAGTGAAATGATATATTACAAAGCAAAACCACACATATAACCACTACCAAAGTCAAGAAACAGAACCGTTACCAGTGCCCCAGAAGCCCCCAGTTGTGCTCCCTGCTAAGCTCTAATTCTTGCCTCCTCACTGTTGTGACTTCTAACATCAGATATTATTTTTTCCTGTTCTGAGCCTTATACAAATGAAATAATGAAGTATGTGTGTTTTGTCTTCTTTTACTTGCTATTGTGTCTTTTACTGTTATGTTTGTGAAGTTTATCAGCATAGTCTACAGTGTAGTTTATTCATTTTCATTATTATATAGTATTCAGTTGTCTGAATAAACTTTTTTTTTAAATCCATCCTACTGTTAACGGACATTACGGTTCTTTCCAGTTTAAAGCAATTACCCAAAAACACTTCTAAGACATGTCATTAGATGCAGGCACATATGCACTTCTAGTGGCTGGGTCACAGAATATTCATACATTCAACTTTAGTAGATATGCCAGAGTTTTCTTGAAATGGTTTCACCGGTGTACACTCTCATGAAAAATGTATGGAAGTTCCCACTGTTTCATAATCCTTGCTGAAATTCAGCACTGTGAATCCATTTCCAGCAGGGATTTCAGCATTGAGTTTGTGATACCTCAGGAATACCCAAGGACCTATGGTATTGGCAATATGTAAAAGGCTGAAAACAGACAGTTCATCAGGCTGTGTGAAAACAGGCGCTCTCACACTTTAGAGAGTACAAAATAACACCCTACACAGGTCTCTCTCTTATTGTTTATTGCCGCAGTATTTGTTAAAGCAAAACACTGGAAGCAACCCAAATACCCACCCCTAAGAGACTGGTTAAAAAATTATGATACATCTACACATTATACGCAGGTGTGGAAAAAAAAGAGGACTACTTCTAGAAATAGATTTAGGACATTTCTAAGCTCTTCTGTTAGGTGATAAAGAAAGGCATGAAAGAATGTATATAATCTAACTTATGGGGTTAAAAAGGTAAATAGTTTTATAAGAAAAAAGTAAGGAAGGGAGGAGGGAAAGAAGGAGAGGATAAATAAATAATGAAAATGAGATATGAGTATATGGGGTCAAGGGAGTAGGGATGGAAGCAGAACTCTTCTACACCTTTTTATATAATGTGGATTTTGAATTAAGTAAATTTTTTGAATTTTCAAAAAAGAATTAAAAAGGGATGAAAGCAAAGCCTGAAATGGAATATAAACAGAAGCCAGTGATCCTAACTGTAAATAATTTATAATATAACCATACAGAGAAAAGAAATAATTCAAGTAAGGTATTTATCCAGTTCTTTGACTATACTCCCTTAACAGGATATAATTTAAAAACAAAAGAAGCAAAGACATTTTGAACTCTATCAGTAGATATGTCATTGCTAGTGATATATTGGTATTATAATCTTCAAACTTTTTTTTTTTTGAGATGGAGTTTCGCTCTTGTTGCCCAGGCTGGAGTGCAATAGCTCCATCTCAGCTCACTGCAACCTCCACCTCCTGGGTTCAAGCCATTCTCCTGCCTCAGCCTCCCCAGTAGCTGGGATTACAGGCCTGTGCCACCCATGCCCAGCTACTTTTGTGGGGTTTTTTTCTTACTAGAGACGGGGTTTTTCCATGTTGGTCAGGTTGGTCTTGAACTCCTGACCTCAGGTGATCTGCCCGCCTCGGCCTCCCAAAGTGCTGGGATTACAGGCTTGAGCCACAGCACCCAGCTGAAACTATTTTGTTTATAAGATAGAGTAAATTGAGTGAATTTCTTTATGTTGCTGGGAGCCAGAGTTTTCACAGTGGGGGAAAAGAAAGAAAAACGTGCAACGGTGAAAAATGAAAAGGAATTCTGTGGAGTTGTTTTTAAACAGAAAGCATCTTATAAAATCCTCCATATTATATATATATATATATATGGATATATATATGGATATGTATATATATGGAATGTGTGTGTGTGTGTGTGTGTGTGTGTATTCTAGCTCTTGCCCACTGACAGGGCCTAGAGGCAATAATATATCCTAGTAGTGATGAGGTTATTCATTGCCCAAAATCCAGATCTTGGTTTCTGTGTCCCATTTTTCACTAGTAAGTACTGTGGCTTCATAAAGCAATGGCAATTCCAGGTTTAGGGTAGGAATAGTATGAAATGAGACTGAAATATCTTACGTGAGCAAGTGAAGTGCAAAAAAACTGTTGGGAACTTATCAAAGGACATAGAAACCTGTTTGAGGCAAAGAAAGAAAGAGAAGGAAGGATGGAAGGGAGGGAAAGAGCAAGAGAAGGAAGGAAGGAAGGAAGGAAGGAAGGCAGGGAGGGAGGGAGGGAGGGAAGGAAGGAAGGAAAACTGTTTCAAAGGGCTCCAACAGACCAAATTTTAAATAATTTAAGCATCAACATAATGACAGTAACTGTTTATAACAGTGAATTTTAAAAGAATCCATTAGTTCATCGTGATAAAATGAGACAGTAGGGAAAGGTATTCTTTGCAGGAAATGGCAACTAATAAACGTAGCAACGTGCCTCCGTTTCCTCCATTGTGAAATGGAGGTAGCCGTACCTAACTGGGGGCCGTCTGGCAGAGTGTGAATTAACACGTGTTACAACGCGACGTTAGCCGTTATTACACTGCCGCCTGGAACACGGTCACCCAGCATCTCACTGCGCCTGCAGACGGGGACGCACGGCCACGGGGGCGACGAAACCTCCGGCCTCCCTGAAGGGACGCAGCCCGAGCCCGCCTTCCGCCGAGAACCCGCCGCGGTGACGCACTTCCGGCCTTTGTCGCGTCTCCTCCGGGCTGCTGCTGTCGGGGATTCAGAGGCGTCGTGACCTGCGCTAGGTGGCGTCTCCTCTCGCAGATGCCTCGCTGAGCCTCGGAGTCGGGCTGTAGCTGAGGGGCCTCGGAACGGCCGGTCTGTGCGCCGCGACCCGGACTGGGTATGGGGATTGGCGGCAGGGGCTTCTCGGTCGGAGATGGGCCGGGCAGGCGAGGGCGGAGGGGGTTTCTCCGGAGCCTGGACGGGCCTTGCTCACCGGGTCAGCGTCGTGGCTCCTCCCCTTTCCTCCACCCCATTTCTGATCCTGAGTTCGTCAGCCTTTCAGCCCTGGTACTGGTGGCACTCTCAGCTCTCCCTGTCTGCATCTTAGGATCCGACAGATTCTGATATGAAGAAATGTGTGTATTTTCCAATGTCGTCTTCTGTACTGTGGACTTATTTTAAAGAATACACAGAGATCGTTTTAAAAGATGCCACAGCCTTTCTTAGTCTTGCTGCTATCGATTTTTTTCTAAAAGAATAAATAGTATTTACTATGTGCCAGCCCAGCACTGTTCTAAGCACTTCCCAAATATTATCTGTTTCTCATAACAGTAAGATAGGCACTGTTATTATGAAGACTATGCCCCACCTCCCTGTCCTGCCCTGTCCTGTCTTTTTAAAATTAAGCTACAAGAATAAAATGAAGTTAAGTAACTTGCCCAAGGTCATTAAAGCTAGTAAGGGCTGTAGGAAGGATTCATATCCAGGCACTGTGGCTCCAGAGTCCGTTTTCTTAAAACCTTTGCTATGCTCACTCCACTCTGTTTCCGTATTAGCTTTATAGCCATAACCTAGGAGATTAACTTGGCTCATTTGAATCCTGTCCTTCTTTTGGACCTCAGTAGTCCTGGGTTTCTAGTTAGGATTTAATTGGAGAGGAGAATATATCTGAAGACACATATATCTTTCAGTGTGTCTGCAAACCTGATAAAACAGCCATTTTATTGATTTGTGTGCTTGTTTTTGCCTACTCATCTTGTTCTTTGGGCAATAGAAAAGATTACAGTCTTGGTCCTAAGGGAAGGTAGCAACTATTAATTAAGCCACCATTGTACCAAAATTGTACATTAGCTCATTAAAAGATTAATTTGCATGTTTATATGCAAGGCCAGGCTTTGTGCAAAAAAATACTTTCTGTGCATTATCTCATTTAATATTCTCAAGTTGGCAAGGTAGTTGTTGTCCTCATTTCATATATGAGCTTGAGGCTTAGAAAAATCAAGTAACTTGCCCAAGATCACTGTGTTAGAATTTACAACTGGCGGCCCTGGTGGCTCATGCCTGTAATTCCAGCACTTTGGGAGGCTGAGGTGGGCGGATCACCTGAAGTCAGAAGTTTGAGACCAGCCTGACCTATATTGTGAAACTCCATCTCCACTAAAAATACAAAAAGTAGCCAGGAGTGGTGGTGGCATCTGTAATCCCAACTACTCAGGAGGCTGAGGCAGGAGGATTGCTTGAACTTGGGAGGCGGAGGTTACAATGAGCCGAGATCCTGCCACTGCACTCCTGCCTGGGCAACAGAGCAAGACTCCATCTCAAAAGAAAAAAAAAATTCATAACCATATCTGCTGTGTTCTTTGCTACCTGATACTACCTTCCGCTTATCTAAGTTAAATAAAATATATGGGCTTATATCAACTCTATGTATGTGTGCTCATGTGTATACATGTGTATGTATGATTGCAAATTTATGGAAAAGGAAAAGGACACATTCCAGTCTTTAAGACTGATTATTTTGGGGTAGTAGAACTTGGTGAAAGAATTATATATTCCGCTCTACTTTTTGGATTAAAAAATGGTTCTGAAGAGAAGTAATGATACAAGATGAATTGTGACTGATGTGAAATGTATGACTCATACAGTACATGACAAATGAGTGGGCAGGAGGAGGAGAGTGAGCTGAAATGGGTAAAGAAGACTTCAGAGAGGATGTGCGATTTGAATCAAGCTGCAGAGATTGGGTAGGGTTTGAATAAGGGCAGAAGGCAAGAGCAAGGTCATAGCACAGGGATGAGAAAAGCCTGATTAGAATAGTGAGAAGGAAATCCTGACTGGAGCTGAGAGTTCTGCTTGTGGAATAGAGGAAAGCAACAGTGGAGCCAGACAACAGAAGCTAAAGGTCTGAATGGTTTTAAGCTGTGCTTGAGAGTTTGGGAATTCATCCAATTAGTGAGAAGCCAGAGATGGTGTCAGCAGAGGTGAGGGTTGTGGGGTGTATGGTGATAAAGTCACATTTGTATTGTGTGCTGCTTAGTCTTCACCTACATGCATGTCCTTGGTAAAGAGCATCCTTCCAATGAGGATGATGGTAGATTTGGGGGTGTTGAGCTTGCTGAGGCCCTAGGGGGAACCAACTTTAAAATGCAGATTATTGTGCTAATTATATACTTGGCATATACACTGAGGTTGTGATCCTGAATTGGAAATTAGGAACTCTATGTTTGTGACCGGGAAGGCAGGATTATAAAAAACTGGGGAAGCCTTTTGGAGACACCGTGTTCAAAGAAAAACTCAGATGTGCTGGTTCAAGGATCTGGGTAATAAGGCCACAAGATAAAAGCAAAATCAGTTGAAGGAAAGCAAAAAATGAACCCAGGGTATACAGAGAAAATAGGGAAATTTATATTTGGGAAAGTGAATATTTGAAACACCACATCCCAGCAAGGAATTTTTCTGGGCAGAACCCTAAGCTTCAGCTGCAGTCTTTGAATAGAAAAGCTTTGACTTGGAAACCAAGAGGCATGAGTGGTAAATAAGAAAAGACATTTTTCAGAGCCTAGAAAGTTGAGAAAAACAAGAAAGCATGAGTGACTGTTTCATCCTGTGAATCTACGGTATGTTTACTGACTAATGTGAGAGGACATATTCTGCATTTAGCTATTTGATATTTGTACCACAAAACTTTCTTACCCTATAACAAATTCAGCAGACCATATTTCAAGCCGTGATCATCTCTTCCCTGGATGACTGTCATAGCATTCCTTTCTGCTTCCACTTAACCCTAAGGTCACTGACACAGCAGCTAGAGTTATGCTTTTATATTAAATGTAAGTAAAATTTTGTTACCCCTTGGCTGAAAATCCTCAGTGGTTTCCATTTCTCATAGAGTACAAGCTAGAGCCCTTACCACTGCCTTTCATGAGCTGTTCCCAAGCTCCTTACTTTATCTCCTGTCGCTTTTCCTTTTGTTTTCTTTGTATCAGCCATTGTTCAACTAGCAATTATTGAAAAATCAAGGCATGTTCCCACCTGCAGAACTTTGCACCTGCAGTTCCCTTTGCAGGAACAGCCTTCTCTAATAGCCATGTGACTTGCTCCTCACTTCCCACAGAACTGTTCAACCATCACCTTATCAAGACCCTCCCTGATGCTATAAAACAGCAAGCTTTCTTTCCCCGTACTCTCTCCTTTCCCTGTATTTTCTTTACAGCATTTATCAGTACTTCACAAATACTTAATTATTATCTGCCTCCTGGACTCCTTTACCTCATCCTGGCCTCTTCTTTCCCCAATAGAGTTAGTGTTACAGCAGTGGAGACTGTAAATTCTGAAGTCAGATTTGTTGGGCTTGAATTGCAGCTTCATTACTTCCTACCTGTAACTGACTTGGACTTTGGACTAGTAACTTAAACTTTTTGTATCTCAGTTTTCTCATCTGTGCTATGGTGGTAATAATGGCACCTTCTTCATGGTTGTTTTGAGGATTAAATGGGTTAGATATAAAGCATCCATAACAATACCTGGCATGTTAAAGCATTATAAATGTCTGCTATTACTAATATTGCTATTAGGATGTCAATTCCATGAGACCAGGGACTTTGTTATAATTGCATCTGCATCCCTAGTGCCTAGAACAGTACTTGGAATATGGTAGGCTCTCAATAAATATTTGATAAATGAATGAGTGGTATGTGAAAACTTATGACAGAAGAAGATAATATGGTAGTCACAGTGGTGGTGAGTCCACACCAAGAAAAGTGGGGGAAGGCCTGGCATGGTGGCTCACACCTGTAATACCAGCACTTTGGAAGGCCAAGGCAGACAGATCACAAGGTCAGGAGTTTGAGACCAGCCTGGCCAACATGGGGAAACCCTGTCTCTATTTAAAAAAAAAATAGCTGAGCTTTGTGGCAAGTCCCTGTAATCCCAGCTACTCAGGAGGCTGAGGCAAGAGAATCATTTGAACTCAGGAGGCAGAGGTTGCAGTGAGCCGAGAGTGCACCATTGCACTCCAGCCTGGGCGACAGGGCGAGACTACGTCTCAGAAAGAGAGAAAGAGAGAAAGAGGAAGGGAGGAAGGGAGGGAAAGAAAAGGAAAAAAGGAAGGAAGGAGGGAAGGGGGAAGGGGAATAAAAGTGGATGAAAACATGAATTTGAGGATTCTGTCTTTAGAGAAAAAAAAATTCTCTGTACAATTTCTGGGGCAGTGATTATAGAAGGCAAACAAACCAAAGATCTCAGAAATTTATGGAGAGGATTACATGTGCAGGTTATCCAGAAGGATGCTGTCCCATGCCAGTAGCTTTTTGCCCGTTGATAAATATAACTAATAATCACAATATGAATCCAATTTTTCTTCTAGTTGTATATGATCAGTGTTTGCTTATAATTTAAATACCTGACATGGTTTGGCTGTGTCCCCAGCCAAATCTCATCTTGAATTATAGTTCCCAAGTTCCCATAATCCCCATGTGTTGTGGGAGGCACCTGGTGGGAGGTAATTTAATTATGGGACAGGTACCTTCACACTGTTCTTGTGATAGTGAGTGAGCTGTCATGAGAACTGATGGTTTTATAAGGGGCTTTTCCCTCTTTCCTCAGCACTGCTACTGCCATATGAAGAAGGACATGTTTGCTTCCCCTTCCGCCATGATTGTAAGTTTCCTGAGGCCTCCCCAGCCCTGCTGAACAGTGAGTCAATTAAACCTTTTTCCTTTATAAATTACCCAGTCTTGGTTATGTCTTTTTTAGCAGCATGAGAGCAGACTAATAAAATATCCTATCCTTAGTTATTTAATTTCACAATCCATGTCAGTACCTAAGAACAGTGGCTCATGCCTGTAATCCCAGCATTTTGGGAGACCAAGGGCAGGCGGATCATCTGAGGTCAGGAGTTTGAGATCAGCCTGGCCAACATGGTGTAACCTCATATCTACTAAAAATACAAAAATTAGCCTGTCGTGGTAGTGGTCACCTGTAATCCCAGCTACTCAAGAGGCTGAGGAAGGAGAATTGCTTGAACCTAGGAGACAGAGGTTGCAGTGAGCCAAGATCATGCCACTGCACTCCAGCCTGGGTGACAGAGTGAGACTCTGTCTCAAAGTGAACAACAACAGCAAAGAACCCAAACAAACAGAATAGTGTAGGGTTATTTTTGCAATGGATTACAATACTTTTCTTATACTTAAAAATATTTTATTCTATAGGTTAGTTTTCATTTGTGGGTCATAAAATCGATGTGGTGGGTTGTGACATACCACATAGATTTTATGACCCACAAAATCTGTTCCCAAGCTTTTTTTATCTTTCAATGAAGTAGGTTGAAAAAATAATTGTGGAGGAAGATCCAAGATGACCCTTTAGGAGCAGCTCAGGATTGCAGCTCCCAGTGAAAGTGCAGAGGGTGAGTGGACACAGCATTTCCAGACAGATCTTTATTGCCCACAGACCAGGAGATTCCCAGGCAGAGGAGCCCCACGGGTTGCCAGCGTGGCTGTTTCGGCCGGCACAGCTGTTTTGCCGGCGCCCCGTCACGGTGGTTCTCCATACAAAATACACTGGTCTGGTTGCCCTTTTAAGCTGGCAATTGGAGCTCCGAGAAGGCAGATTCGCCCATTCATCTGATTAAACAGGGGTCTGAAATGGAGCCAGGCCAGGAAATTCCCAGGCAGTGCCATTGTTTCAGCCAGTGCAGTGGGTCACTGCACGGGAAATCACACAGATCCTGGCACCCTTTCAGCAGGCGACTGGAACACCTGGGAGAGAGTCAGTCGTTCAACTTAAAAAGAAAAAAAAGGCTCTGAGGCAGGGAGCCAGGTGATCAGGCTCGGCGGGTCCCACCCCTTCAAAAACAACAACAAAAAAACAGCAATTGGAAATGCTCAGGGTTGAGAGTTTCATGGCAAGTGCAGCTGAACCTGGGAAGGCCCAGCTCTGTGGGGGAGGGGCATCCACCATTACTGAGGCACTCCACCCCTACAGAGGTAGTCTGCCATTGCCGAGACACCCTGCTGTTGCCGAGGCAACCCGCCATAACAGAGAGAGTCCGCCATTACACAGGTGGGCCACCATTGCCGAGGGAGTTCTAACCACACCCATATAAACAGGACTGCCAGGAAGTTCACATGGCAGCAGGGTGGAGCTCACAGTAGCTCAGCAAAGCCACTGCAGGCAGACAATGACTAGGCTGCCTCCTTGCTGGGCAGGGCAGCCCTGCAAAAAAATGGCAGCAGCACAACGGATACTCAAAAATAAAGCCCTAACTCCCCAGGACAGAGCACCTGGGGAAAAACAAAAAGGGTTTATGAGTTCTGCTGCAGCAGACTTAAATGTACCTGGCTAGCAGCTCTGAATGAACAACGGAGCTCACAGCTCAGCACTTGAGCTCCTATAAAGAACAGACTCTCCTCAAGCAGCTCCCCGATCCCCGTATACCCAAAGAGTCGCCTCACAAAGGACTGATCAGACTGACATTTGGTGGGCATCATTCTGGGGCAAAGATAGCAGAAGAAGAAACTGGTAGCAACCCTTACTGTTCTGCAGCTGCTGCAGGTGATCCCCAGGCAAGCAGGGCCTGGAGTGGACCTCAGCAGTCCTGCAGCAGAGGGACCAAACAGTTAGAAGGAAAACTAAGAAACAGAAGTAACTTCATCATCAACAATCTGGACGTCCACTCAGAGAACCAATCTGAAAATCAGCAACTACACAGATGACAGGTAGATAAATCCACAAAGATGGGAAGAAACCAGCACAAAAAGGAGGAAAACACCTGAAACCAGAACAGCTCCTCCTACAAGGGATCACAACTCCTCACCAGCAAGGGAACAAAGCTGGATGGAGAATGAATGTGATGAAATGACAGAATCAGACTTCAGAAGGTGGGTAATGAGAAACTTCCGTAAGCTAAAAGAACATCTTCTAACTCAATGGAAAGAAACTAAGAACAGTTGGAAAAAGATTTGATGAAATGATAACAAGAATGGACAACTTAGGAATATGAGTGAATTGATGGAGCTAAAAAACACAACACAAGAACTTTGCGAAGCATGCACAAGTTTCAACAGCCAAATTGACCAAGTAGAAGAAAGGATACCAGAGGTAGAAGATCAGCTCAATGAAATAAGAAGGCAAGATTAGAGAAAAAAGCACAAAAAGGAATTAACAAAGTCTCCAGGAAATGTGGGATTATGTGAAGAGACCTAATCTACATTTGATAGGTGTACCTGAATGTGACCAAGAGAATGAATCCAACCTGGAAAATACTCTTCAGGATATTATCCAGGAAAACTACCCCAACCTAGCAAGGCAGGCCAATATTCAAGTCCAGGAAATACAGAGAACACCACAAAGATATTCCTCAAGAAGAGCAACCTCAAGGCACAGAATCATCAGATTCGCCAGGGTTAAAATGAAGGAGAAAATGTTAAGGGCAGCCAGAGAGAAAGGTCGGGTTACCCACAAAGGGAAATCCATCAGACTCACAGCAGATCTCTCAGCAGAAACCCTACAAGCCAGAAGAGAGTGGGGGCCAATATTCAACATCCTTAAAGAGAAGAACTTTCAACCCAGAATTTCATATCCAGCCAAACTAAGCTTCATAAGTGAAGGAAAAATGAAATCCTTTGCAAACAACAAGTACTCAGAGATTTTGTCACCATCAAGCCTCCTTTACAAGAGCTCCTGAAAGAAGCACTAAACATAGAAAGGAACAACCAGTACCAGCCACTCCAAAAACATACCAAATGCTAAAAAGCATCAACAAAATGAAGAATCTGCATCAACTAATGGGCAAAACAGCCAGCTAGCATCAAAATGGCAGTATCAAATTCACACAGAACAATATTAACCCTAAATGTAAATGGGCTAAATGCACCAATCAAAAGACACAGACTGGCAAATTGGATAAAAAACCAAAACTCTTCTGTGTGCTGTATGCAGGAAACCCATCTCACATGCAGGGATACACAAAGGCTCAAAATAAAGGGATGGAGGAAGATTTACCAAAGAAATGGAGAGCAAAAAAGAAAGCAGGAGTTGTAATTCTCATCTCTGATAAAATAGACTTTAAAGCAACAAAGATCAAAAGAGACAAAGAAAGACATTACATAATGGTAAAAGGATTGATACAACAAGAATAGCTAATGATCCTAAATATATACAGACCCAATACAGGAGCACCCAGATACATAAGGCAAGTTCTTAATGACTTACAAAGAGACTTAGACTCCCACACAATAATAGTGGGAGACTTTAACACTCCACTGTCAATATTAGACAGATCAACCAGACAGAAAATTAACAAGGATATCCATGACTTGAACTCAGACCTGGAACAAGAAAACCGGATAGACATTTACAGAACTCTCCACCCCAAATCCACAGAATATACATTCTTCTCAGCACCACATCACACCTACTCTAATATTGACCACATTATTAGAAGTAAATCACTCCTCAGCAAATGCAAAAGAATGGAAATCATAACAAACAGTCTCTCAGACCATGGTGCAATCAAGTTAGAACTCAGAATTCAGAAACTAACTCAGAACTGCACAGCTTCGTGGAAACTGAACAACTGGCTCTTGAATGTTCACTGGATAAACAACGAAATGAAGGCAGAAATAAAGAAGTTCTTTGAAACCGAGCATGAAGACACAACATACCAGAATCTCTGCGACACATTTAAAGCAGTCTCTAAGGAAAATATATAGCAATAAGTGCCCACATGAGAAGAAAGGAGAGGTCCAAAATTGACACCCTATCGTCAACATTGAAAGAGCTAGAGGAGTAAGATCAAAAAAACTAAAAACCTAGCAGAAGACAAGAAATAACTAAGATCAGAGCAGAACTGAAGGAGATAGAGACACGAAAAACCCTTCAAAAAATCAATAAATCCAGGATCTGGTTTTTCAAAAAGATAAACAAAATAGACAGACCACTAGTCAGATTAATAAAAAAGAAAAGAGAGAATAACCAAATAGATGCAATAAAAAATGATAAAGGGGAAATCACCATAGATCCCACAGAAATTCAAACCATCATCAGAGAATATTACAAACAACTCTATGCACATAAACTAGTAAAGCTGGAAGAAGTTGATAAATTCCTGGACACTTACATCCTCCCAAGCCTAAACCAAGAAGTCGAAACCATGAATAGACCAATAACAAGATCTGAAGTTGAGGCAACAATTAAGAGCCTGCCACTCAAAACAAGCCCAGGTCCAGATGGGTTCACAGCCGAATTTTACCAGACACACAAAGAACTGTTACCATTCCTTCTGAAACTATTCCAAATAATACAAAAAGAGGGAATACTTCCCAAATCATTTTATGAGACCAACATCATCCTGATACCAAAACCTAGCAGAGACTCAACAAGAAAAGAAAACTTAAGGCCAATATCCATGATGAACATACACACAAAAATCTTCAATAAAATACTGGCAAGCCAATTGCAACAGCACATCAAAAAGCTTATCCACCATGATCAAGTAGGATACATCCCGGGGATGCAAGGCTGGTTCAACATATGCAAGTCTATAAACATAATTCACCACATAAACAGAGCCAGAAACAAAAACCACATGATTATCTCAATTGATGTAGAGAAGGCCTTTGACAAAATTCAACAGGCCTTTATGCTAAAAACCCTCAATAAACTCGATATTGATGGAACGTATCTCAAAATAATAAAAGCTATTTACGACAAACCAACAGCCAATATCATACTGAATGGGCAAAAACTGGAAGCATTCCCTTTGAAATCTGGCACTAGACAAGGATGCCCTCTCTCACCACTCCTATTCAATATAGTACTGGAAGTTCTAACCAGAGCAGTCAGGCAAGAAAAAGAAATAAAGAGTATTCGATTCAGAAAGGAGGAAGTCAAATTGTCTCTATTTGCAGACGACATGATAGTATATCTAGAAGACCCCATCATCTCAGCCCAAAATCTCCTGAAACTGATAAGCAACTTCAGCAAAGTCTCAGGATACAAAATCAATATGCAAAAATCACAAGCATTCCTATACACCAATAACAGACTTAAAGAGAACCAAATCAAGAACGAACTGCCATTCACAATCGCTACAAAGAGAATAAAATACCAAGGAATACAGCTAACAAGGAATGTAAAGGACCTCTTCCAGGAAAACTACAAACCACTGCTCAATGAAATAAGAGAGGACACAAACAGATGGAGAAACATTCCATGTTCATGGTTAGGAAGAATCAAAATTGTGAAAATGGCCATACTGCCCAAAGTAATTTACAGATTCAGCACTATCCCCATCAAGCTACCAATGGCCTTCTTCATAGAACTGGAAAAAACCACCTTAAACTTCATATGGAACCAAAAGACAGCCCACCTAGCCAAGTCAATTCTAAGCAAAAAGAACACAGCGGGAGGCATCACACTACTGGGACTTCAAACTATACTACAAGGCTACAGTAATCAACATGGTACTGGTACCAAAACAGAGATATAGACCAATGGAACAGAACAAAGGCATTGGAGACAACATAGCATATCTACAACCATATGATCTTTGATAAACCTGACAAAAACAAGCAATGGGGAAATGATTCCCTGTTTAATAAATTGTGTTGGGAAAACTGGCTAGCTATGTGCAGAAAGCGGAAACTGGACCCCTTCCTGACTCCTTACACTAAAATTAACTCCAGATGGATTAAAGACTTAAACATAAGACCTAATAGCCAAAAACAACCATAGAAGAAAATCTAGGCAAAACCATTCAGGACATAGGAGTCGGCAAGGACTTCATCACCAAAACACCAAAAGCATTGGTAACAAAAGCCAAAATAGACAAACGGGACCTAATCAAACTCCACAGCTTCTGCACGGCAAAAGAATCAGTCATTAGAGTGAATCACCAACCAAGAGAATGGGAAAAAATTTTTGCAGTTTACCCATCTGACAAAGGGCTGATATCCAAAATTTACAAAGAACTAAAACAAATTTACAAGAAAATCAAGCCCATTCAAAAGTGGGCAAAGGATATGAACAGACACTTTACAAAAGAAGACATACATGAGGCCAACAAACATATGAAAAAATGCTCGTCATCACTGGTCATTAGAGAAATGCAAATCAAAACTACATTCAGATACCATCTCACGCCAGTTAGAATGGCGATCATTAAAAAATCTGGAGACAACAGATGCTGGAGAGGATGTGGAGAAATAGGAACACTTTTACACTACTGGTGGGAGTGTAAATTAGTTCAACCCTTGTGGAAGACAGTGTGGCGATTCCTTAAGGACCTAGAAATAGAAATTCCATTTGACCCAGCAATCCCATTACTGGGTATATATCCAAAGGACTATAAATCATTCTACTGTAAGGACACGTGCACACGAATGTTCATTGCAGCACTGTTTACAATAGCAAAGACCTGGAATCAACCCAAATGCCCATCGATGAGAGACTGGAGAGGGAAAATGTGGCACATATACACCATGGAATATTATGCAGCAATCAAAAATGTTGAGTTTGTGTCCTTTGTAGGGACATGGATGAACCTGGAGAACATCATTCTCAGCAAACTGACACAAGAACAGAAAATGAAATACCGCATGTTCTCACTCATAGGCGGGTATTGAACAAAGAGAACACATGGACACGGAGGGGAGCACTATACACTGGGGTCTGTTGGGGGGAATAGGGGAGGGACAGTGGGTGGTGGGGAGTTAGGGAGAGATAGCATGGGGAGAAATGCCAGATATAGGTGAAGGGGAGGAAGGCAGCAAATCACACTGCCATGTATGTACCTATGTAACTATCTTGAATGTTCTTCACATGTATCCCAAAACCTAAAATGCAATAAAAAAATTGTATTTCATGATATAGAGCAAGCATACATATTGTTTTGTGAAATTATTTAAGTTATTTATATATCTCATAAATGCACAAACATACACTCATATGCACGTGTATGTATGTTCTGGGTTATAATATAAAATATTTCTTAATAAGGGTCCTGGTCAAAAAGGTTTGAAAGTCTCTTCTTCAAATGGTACTTAGAAATCATTGGGTCACATAATTGTTTTTCTTTCAGAAAATTGCCTTCATTAAGTACTATACTAATTAAGATTGCTCGTAGGTTTGTTTGTTTTTATTTTCTTTTTTCTTTTGAGACAGAGTCTTGCTCTTTTGCCCATGCTGGAGTATAGTGATATGATCTTGGCTCACCGCAATCTCCGCCTCCTGGGTTCAAGTGATTCTCCAGTCTCAGCCTCCTGAGTAGCTGGGATTACAGGCACATACCACCATGCCCAACTAATTTTTGTATTTTTTAGGAGAGAGAGGGTGTCATCACATTGGCCAGGCTGGTCTCGAACTCCTGACCTTAGGAGTCATAGACATTTGTCTTTTTATTAGCAGTAATTTTCTTTTACGTAAAATTGCCCACTCTCTACCTTCAAGTAGCTTCAAAAAGAAAAAATTTCCAAGAAATTAAAGGGCAAGAAAAACCTCAAATTCTACTCCTGTTTTAAAGTACCAGAATCAGTATTTCATTCATTTTAATATCTCTGAGCCTAGACCACTACAGTCAACTACTTTGATTCTTTTGCCTTAGCGCTTAAACCACTAAGATATTCATTTCATCTTACAGTAACATAAGAAAAATAACAACGGTGTTATCAGTTTAGAGTTTACTAAGCACCCAGCTTCTTTGTGCTCATTATCCTCGTTTTATCTTTGTATCAACCTAGAAAGATATGCAATGTTGGTTTTAGGATTCCTATTTTATAGAATGAAGAGACCAAGGCTCAAAACATGAAGCTTAAGACTTTGGAGGGAATGCGACCAGCAGGATGATTTCTCAGCCCACATGTTAAACCTAGATCTCTCCTCCATCCCTCCCATGACTGGGGAGACTGCCTCCCCTCTCTAAGTGCATTGCTTAACGTTCTTACTTTTTATCTTCTTTACTTTCCCTCCATCCTCCGTTTATTTCCTTTTTCTCCTTGATTCTTGATGTCATCTGTGACTACTTGGGCTCAAAGTGCTTGTTTACCCTCATACAGCTAAAATTTGCCCTGAATTTAGTATCCTGCCATTCAAGTTGAAACCCAATATACTCAAGCTGATTTGAGCTGTTTCATTCAGGATGAATGAAACAGTATTTTCATTTGGTAAACTAGGAGTTTTTGTTTCTTCCATTTCTTCTTATATTACCTGGATTTGTATGTCCAAAGTATCTACTATTAATCATATTTTGATGTTCCTTCTTCATGAGACAAAGTGGCTGATTTTAGTATAAATACTCCAGTCCCTCCTTGTCCTGAGGCTTTCTGCATTTTTATATTTTTTTCTTTGCAAATTATTGTCTAGATCTTGGTGTTTCCAGAAGAAAAGATCAAGGGAGAATTACCAAGAATAGATTCTTTTTCTGGATAGTTAAACCTTTTATGTCCATAACCTTGACCCTTCAGACTGCAGAGATGCAGGAAGGACATCTGGCAGTGAAGGTAAAGGAGGAAGAGGAGGAATACTCCTGTGGGCCAGAATCAGGCCTGTCAAGAAATAACCCTCATACAAGAGAGATGTTTCGTCGACGCTTCAGGCAGTTCTGCTATCAGGAGACCCGTGGGCCCCGGGAAGCTCTTCAAAGACTCCAGGAGCTCTGCCATCAGTGGCTGAGACCAGAGATGCACACAAAGGAGCAGATCCTGGAGCTGCTGGTGCTGGAGCAGTTCCTGACCATCCTGCCTGAGGAGCTCCAGGCCTGGATGAGAGAACACCGCCCTCTGAGTGGAGAGGAGGCAGTGACTGTGCTGGAGGATTTGGAGAGAGAGCTGGATGAACCAGGAGAGCAGGTGAGAAGATAGGAGAACAGGTGTTTGTATCTATAAGAACAAGTATGGGATTTCACTGTAACAAGAAGAGGATTTTTTATGCCAGACTTGACCTTCTGTAGGCCATTAATCTCTCTGCTTCTGTTTTTTCTTTGCCAGCTTCTTGGTCCTTCTTTTCTATCCAGTGGCCCTGAAAAGGCCTCCTTGCAGTGTTCTCTCTGATATTTGGTTCCCAACTGTCCTTGATTTCCACCAGGTCCTGACTCATGCTTATGACGAGGAAGCATTTGTAAAGGAGAAGGCAACTCCAGGATCAGCTCAAGAGTCATCAAATGGCCAATTCCAAGCCTTGGAAGAGCAACGTCAGTATAATTTGCGAGAGGTGTGCCTAGTTCAGGAGATTGGTGAGGATTAGAATTTCCTCAGAGAGCCTTCCTCATTCTCTGAATATTTATCAATTCAACACATTTATTTAGTGTCTGCCGTATGCCAGGTACCAGGGAGACAGTGATAAACAAGGCAGATGTGGTCCCTGCTCCCATGAAGTTTACAGTCTAATGGGAGAGGCAAACAAGTAAGCAGTTATAATACAGTGCATCTTTTCCCTGAGGTCTGGGTATCATAGTTTTAGAGTAAAAAAATAAACAGAAAAAGTGGCTACCTGTCCCCTTCCACCCATTCTCCTGGCCACTTTTTTCTTTTGTCTTTAGAAAGATAACATGTTATCTTTCATACTTCCTGTTACCTTTCATGTTATCATTATTTTAGATGGCAAGGCTGGGACTTGGAATGTGGAGTTAGCCCCAAAGAAGGAGATTTCTCAGGAAGTGAAATCTCCTGTACAAGTTCCTGGAAAACTGAATGGTAATATTACTCAGATGCCTGAGTATGGAGATACCTGTGACCATGAGGGCAGACTGGAAAAGCAAAGGGTGAGCTCTTCAGTGGAGAGACCCTATATCTGTAGTGAATGTGGAAAAAGCTTCACCCAGAATTCCATTCTTATTGAGCACCAGCGAACACACACAGGTGAGAAGCCTTATGAATGTGCTGAGTGTGGGCGGGCCTTCAGCCAGCGGTCAGGCCTATTCCAGCACCAGAGACTCCACACTGGGGAGAAGCGCTACCAGTGCAGTGTTTGTGGCAAAGCCTTCAGCCAGAACGCTGGGCTTTTCCATCACCTCAGAATTCACACTGGGGAGAAACCTTACCAGTGTAATCAGTGCAGTAAGAGTTTTAGTCGACGTTCAGTCCTCATTAAGCATCAGAGAATTCACACTGGAGAGAGGCCTTATGAATGTGAAGAATGTGGCAAGAACTTCATTTACCATTGCAACCTAATCCAGCATCGGAAAGTCCATCCTGTGGCTGAATCAAGCTAGCTCCTCAGAACAGGTAGGAAAAGTTTCCTGACATCTGACCACTAGCCAAGATGGCAAGGGTACTTTTTCTTTCTTTGTCCCTGCTGCGTCCTCTAGCATAGAAAGTCAAGGGAAAGCCAATAAAAATTCCCTTATTTTTATGCAGAGAGGAGCATAATATCTGAAATACATCTGTTGAGTTCTCTGGTCCATGACATCCTCAGCTCTGCAACACTGAATACTGTCTCTTGTGTTGACTTCATTATATATGCTGTAGACCTACTTTCATACACATCTGTGCAAGAAGTTTTCTAAGTGTATTTCAGGAAAACTTCTTCATCCTGGTTTATTAAAACTTTTTAAAAAGTTTTAAAATAATTATATGTAGCCTGACTATAAAATAATCTCAAAGGCAGTTCCCTTAGTATTTAAAAATTAATTTAAAAATAATTATATTAAAATTCATAATATAGGTTACCTGACTACTTTTCATTCACATATGATAATTTGCTTTTTAACCCACAAAAAGGGCAGATGAATCTTCCTGTATAAATGTAGACTTACAGTAAGTTAGATTGCTGTAGACTTTTTAGTAAGTTAGCCTTTAGTCAGGAATTAAGAAATTGAAGCAACTGTATGTTATGAGCAGCTCAGTGGCTCTTCATAACAAATATTCCTCATGATTTTAAATTTTCACAGAGACTAAGAAACTTAGTGAAAAATCTGATATCTCACCTGAGACTTTTGATTGGAAAATATAGGCCTCTTTTTGTTTTTTCCATAACATATAATGAGCATTTTTTGTTTTTGCCTTTTTCTACTTTATTCAATATTTTGTATGGAAAAATCTGAAACATCAGGGAAGAGAAGAGTATGATCACTCTTCCATGTTGATTGTTTTTTATAACCTCCACATTTCTCAGCATTTACTATTGATCACCACCAAGGTCATACATAAAAAAATTTCTTTCTCTTAACATTGACTTAGTAACTCTTTACAAAGCTTTATACAAGGTCCAGGAGACAAAGAAATGGAAAACCTATGGTGAAAACAATTGAGTTTGGAATACACCCGAATATCCAGTATCCAGCATGTAACTTAAGAATAACAGAATCACTTCTGCATGGCTTTATAATAGAGATCCCTTCTGCATGCCTTATTTGACAGATAAGAAGAAGTTCTCCGAAGTGACTAAGATCATAGAGCCAGTTAAAAGCAGAGCTGGAACCTCGTTCCTTGAGTAACACTCTTTCTACTAAGCCGCTGGGAGCATTATATCACCAAATTAAAATTACAAGTATATGAAATTTATTGCATTTATAAGTCATTGAAGTTGCTCAACAACCCCCCCCCCATTTGTATGTTTCAATAAATGTACAACTCTTCTGTTTAATTTGCCACGGAGTCCAGGAAAGACTGTCGTTACTTATTCCTCATTGGAAGCATTTTACTTATTTTTGTAATTATTTTTAACTTTTAAAATTCAATTTACTTAGCAGGACTTTTTTAAGAAAGATAACTCATTCTTTACCTGATTCAAAAATCAAAATAATACAAAAAAGGTCTACTTTTTCCCTTTATAGGTAGCCATTTTATTAGTTTCTTCTGTATCTTTCCGTAAATGTAAGGAAATAGGAAGGTATAATCTTATTTCCTCCATTACTCAAAAAGCATATTATTTATACTCTTCTAATACCTTGCAGTTTTCATGAAAGAATATAATTTTTAGAGATGTCCACATCATAACACAGAACTTTTTAAAAATAAAGTTAATAGGATTTTATTTCTTCATTCTCCATAGTTTATTTGACAAACTCCTATAGATGAAAAAAAACCACTATTTAAGAATGTTACATATTCTGTTTCACTCTTCTCCCCAGTTTAGTCCAAGTTAAGTTTCTTCTGTTCAAAAGCTAACGGCTTTTATATGAGCTAGGAAACAAGGTGTGGGCAACCAGAATTGCACATAATTCTTCTACAAAGAAATGGAGAAGTGATGGGTGGTATTTTTCAGCTTAGTGTATTTGGTTCTATCACATATTCTTAACACTTGACATTTCAAACTGTTTTTGTCAGTACTTGAGGCTAATTGTGGGTATTATAAAACATTTTTTTTTTTTTTGAGATGGAATCTCGCTCTGACACCAGGCTGGAGTACAGTGATACAATCTCAGCTCACTGCAACCTCCACCTCCCAGTTCAAGTGATTCTTGTGCCTCAGCCTCCCGACTACAGGTGCATGCCACCACACCCCACTATTTTGTTTTTTTTTTTTTTTTAGGATGGTCTCAAATCTCTTGACCTCATGATCCACCCACCTCAGCACCCCAAAGTGCCGGGATTACAGGTGTGAGCCACCACTCCCAGCCTATAAAAAATCTTATATTTCCTCAAGAATATTTTTTTATTTTCTTGAGGTTAAATTATTTCTAAGAGAAATAGCTACAGATTTTTGAGTGAAGAAAAATATAGTCGACTTCAGTTTCAAGTAAGATCAACTTCTTATGTAAATAGGTATTCCATAAAGTCATATAATAGATATTCTATAGTATTCTGAGTTTATAAATATCTTAAATGCCTCTCCATATGTTGAAGCAGCATTCTTGGCTAATTCCATTACATCAGGTCTTAAAAGATTTAACATATGAACAGATGAGGTTTTTGAAGGATGTATTTCTTTCTTTTTTTTAAAAAAAAAAGATGGGGTTTCACCATGTTGGTCAGGCTGGTCTTGAACTTCCGACCTCAGGTGATCTGCACACCTTGGCTTCCAAAGTGCTTGGATTACAGGCATGAGCCACGACACCCAGCCTGAAGGATGTATTTCTAATGGAATGAATTTTTATACCTGCATCTGAATGTTGGATGTTTAATTTGCTTTGTGCTTGTTTTCTCACAGCCTCTCAAAATATCTTGTTTTTCTCAACAACAGGAAAATCCTAAGGAGCAGAAGATGTTATATATGCTGTAGAGACAGATGTACCACCTAGAATGCAATGATGCTTAGCATGATTCAAGTGACGTGACAGCAGACTAACTTCCCTTGTTTCCTGATAGTAATTGTGTAGATTCTTTTCTGGTAATCTTTAATCTAGTGTGCACATTCCTCATTAATTGAGAAATGGCATGTAAACATTGGCTGCTTCTGCAATTATTCTGGTTCTTCTTGGACAAAGTTCTTAGTTGTCTCCCTTTCACATTTCTAAATTTCTCTCACTTCTCTCTCCCTTTTTACCACCCTGGCTCCTTTATTCAACCCATTAAGACTCTAGCATAGACCTCTTTTCAGATGTTTCCTGGACCAGTATCTACTGCTTTATGTTACCTTGAAAAGTCTAGTCTGAAAGAGCAGTCACTGCTCTATGGGTGAGCAACATGTAAGAAATATTAATTCAAATCCATTTAAATAAACTTACTGGTTCTTGAGGACAGTCTGACACTCCTTTGAGCACTGTTCAGCACAGTAGATGCTGCATCAAGAAATAACTGAGAATCTTGCAACCGCATTAACCTAGAGCTGTAAATAGAGTTCTGAAAACTCTAGCTATAATTTTGATTTCTTGGTCAAGATTTCAGTAATATCAAGTATCTGTTTATATTTAGCATTTGGAAATGACTCCTATTTTCTGTATCTGATGATACTTTTTCTCTAAAAAAAATATTAAAGTTTATAGTGGAAGGTTGTTTTAAATTTTCTAAAAAAATAAAAATTACCTCAGGAGATTTTAAAAGGAAAATGTACCTAAAATTAAAGCTATTATAAAATGTGAAATCTTTTCTGTGGAATAAGTTTGAGATATAAAATATATACCAATATACTTGTTTCATTGGTTAAATGTTGAACTAGTAATTCAGAAAAAAGATTTTTTTTTTTTTTGGAGAGGGAGATGGGGAGTAGAGGAATATCTTTTGGTCAGAGGGGGCAGGGTGAGGCAAGACCCATCAAAGATATGCTCAAGAATCAAGAGCTTTTGAGTTTGGCTGGATCAACAGAGAGTGGGAGATGGCAAGTAGGAGCCATATTGAGAAGGCCTTGTACTTTCAGAATGAGTTTAGTGTTTGGTAAGAAAATAATAGTTTTAAAAAGAGATTTTAAGAGCTTAGCAAATATCATACCTAAATGAGAAAAGTGAAGTCCAAAGTGCTTAAGCACTTGTAGTAATCTATCTTTTATCACCTTAATAAATTTGAAAAGGAAACCAATTATGAACAGGGATCACTGTGAATTATATATGGTTTCATAGACACTTACACTTGGAACCCTGGGCCTCATTATAGGCATCTGCAAACAACAGCAGCAACGAAGTGGGATGGAAGGAAAAAAGAACAAAATATGAGGACATAAAAGGGAATCAGAAGGTAAAGTTAGATGCTAAAACTCTAAAGTTAGATTGGGCAAAAAATGGTGACCAAAGGAAAAATGGAAAGATAGATGCAGGGACAGATTGTTGCCAAGAAATGTGCTTCATCCTCATTATTAGAAATATCTTATTTATCTGGTCTAAGTTTTTAGATGCTGTTGTTTAAGCAGTGAAAATAATCTCACTGACCTTTACTCCTCACACATTTTATTATTTCCCATAAAATGGATAGGGAGAAAAGCATAGTCTATAAACCTCTGTGATTTTTAGGTCTCTTTGAACCTATCCCTAGTTTTCTATGCCAACTGCCAAAAGGCAGTGTTGAAGACACTATTTCTTGATGATGCCTGCACTAGAGTCACCTGGGTTGTCTGTTTGAACTGCAGTTTTCTGAGCCTCACCCCAGACCTATGAATCAGTTTCTGAGACAGAGCCTGAGAATCTGCACTGACCTACTGAGTCAGTTTCTGAGACAGCCTGAGAACCTGCACTGACCTATTGAGTCAGTTTCTGAGACAGAGCCTGAGAACCTGCTCTGACCTACTGAGTCAGTTTCTGAGACAGGGCCTGAGAACCTGCTCTGACCTACTGAGTCAGTTTCTGAGACAGAGCCTGAGAACCTGCTCTGACCTACTGAGTCAGTTTCTGAGACAGCCTGCGAATCTGCGCTGA